ATCCATGGCTGAAAGTGGTGCTATAGAAGCTCTTCTTGATCTTCTAAGGTCTCATCAGTGTGAGGACACAGCAGCGCGACTGCTCGAGGTACTTCTTAACAACGTCAAGATTAGAGATTCAAAAGCCACCAAGACTGCAATCTTGCCCTTGTCCCAGTACCTCTTGGATCCACAGACTCAAGCTCAGCAGGCGCGATTACTGGCAACTTTGGCCCTCGGTGATCTTTTCCAGAACGAAGCACTCGCTAGAAGCACCGACGCAGCTTCTGCTTGCCGTGCTTTAGTCAATGTCCTTGAGGAACAACCCACAGAAGAAATGAAAGTAGTGGCTATATGTGCTCTGCAAAACCTTGTTATGTATAGCCGGTCCAACAAAAGAGCGGTTGCGGAGGCAGGTGGTGTGCAGGTCGTCTTGGATCTGATCAGTTCCAGTGACCCGGATACATCTGTTCAGGCTGCAATGTTCGTAAAACTTCTTTTCTCAAATCACACTGTGCAAGAATACGCATCTAGCGAGACCGTGAGAGCAATAACTGGTGAGAAAAATCTTGTACCTTCTTTATCGTTTCGAACTGCTTATTGTTCTTTATAACACTGATTCTTCCTTCTAATTTGCAGCTGCTATTGAGAAGGACTTATGGGCCACTGGAACCGTGAATGACGAGTATCTAAAAGCCTTGAACTCTTTGTTTAACAACTTCCCGCGTCTAAGAGCCACCGAGCCTGCAACACTAAGCATACCTCATCTGGTTACATCCCTCAAGACAGGCTCAGAGGCAACTCAAGAAGCTGCCTTGGATGCGTTGTTTCTTCTCAGACAAGCTTGGTCAGCCTGTCCTGCTGAAGTTTCCAGGGCCCAATCAGTTGCTGCTGCAGACGCAATCCCTTTACTTCAGTACCTAATCCAATCAGGTCCACCACGGTTCCAGGAGAAAGCCGAATTCCTCTTGCAGTGTTTGCCAGGTACTCTTGTGGTCACAATCAAACGCGGTAACAACATGAAGCAATCCGTTGGCAATCCGAGCGTGTTTTGTAAGATCACACTCGGTAACACTCCTCCTAGACAAACCAAGGTAAGAAAAGACTCATCACCCCTTGTTCAATTCACTGTGACTATTAATTCCCCCAAGGAATCAACCTTATCTTTCGATTTTTTTCAGGTGATTTCGACAGGTCCTAATCCAGAGTGGGACGAGAGCTTCTCATGGTCATTTGAGAGCCCTCCCAAAGGTCAAAAACTCCATATTTCATGCAAGAACAAGAGCAAAATGGGAAAGGTATATCATCAAAAACTAAACTTGACTCATATTTGACAGTTCCAAATTTTTGCGGTCTATTGGGTTTTTATCTGAATCAGAGTCCTTTCGCTTTTGTTTTTCTGCAGAGTTCCTTCGGGAAAGTAACGATCCAAATCGATCGGGTGGTAATGCTGGGAGCCGTTGCAGGTGAATACAGTTTGTTACCAGAAAGTAAAAGTGGCCCCAGAAATCTTGAGATCGAATTCCAGTGGTCTAACAAGTAAAAACACCACTTCATTTTTCTTTTTTTGAGGGTGAGAGTTCTTCAGTCAAAACTTTGTTTTCTTGGCCAATTTTTCTTATATTCATTTTGTTTATTGTGTAATGCTACTGTATATAGTTTGTATTGTAATGCCATGGTTTGGTGATTTATACCTTCGGTCTTTTAATTCTTTTTAACTGTGTATTCAATTCATTTGTAACATTTATTGCCATTTTGTGTTTTCCGTAGCTTCATTTATTCATCTTCTGGTGTGCCTCTAAAATTTAAACTTGAAATAATTCGAGAACCTTTTTTTACTTTTGCTTTTAGTTTTGATGAAAGATAATGCATGAGCAAAATGAGAACTGTTCTGCACTTGTATGTTTATGGAAGGAGAAATATATTGAACTAACCTAATAGGAAACAAATTACAAACACAATTTAACAAATGAAGTGTAAACACGATAAGAGAAAATGAGAGGGTTCAACGGCATATAACATAACGAAAGAAGTTACAATACGATTTAGTTTTAGAGAATGGGAGACAGTTTTTAAGTTGCAGTAACATTTAGTTTCACGAAAAAGAACCTCACCAAGACTAACTGGAAGGGTCGACGAAATCACCAATATATAATCTATCTTTAAGTAATTCCACTTCTGCTGCAGCTTCTGTATGATAAGGCAAGAAAAGAGGAAATGGTTTTAGTTCTACAAGATGATTAATTAAATCTGCACTGCCAGTAATAGCAAACATAATTCAACCAAATGGATAGCAAGCCACTTAGCCACAAAAAAAAGTATATAAGAGAGCTTTGATGCATTACCACAAACATGGAGGCACAACCTAACTAAAGAGAAAAATGAGAGGAGTTTAAGGCATACCCTCGGATAGAAGAAGTTGCGGAGCGTAGTTTCAGAGAGGGAACCTTAGTAAGAAGAATCCTTGTCTTCTTCACCATTTTCTTTTTTACCACTGTCTTCTTCACCACTGTCTGTGTCGTCCAACAAGTCCACTTCTGTTGCAAATACGGTAAGAAGAAAATGGGAAGATTTTCAGGCATGACCCATAAATTTCATGTAGTTACATTATTAATTCATAGATGCGTGGGAGGTAGAAACAAACATAGACTTACTTTTTTTGTTAAGGTCATGGCGATAACCGCGCTTGTCATTTTTTCCAAGCATTTTTAAAAGATCACGCTCAATGTACATAAGATAGATGTCTCGAAGCTGTTCCTCTTCTGTTGCTGCCTCATGGTCACCCTGATTTGACACGAAAAAAAAATTTGTCTAAATTGAAAAACAAAAGAAGTACCTCTACAAGATGATCGATCGATGCAAATCATTACCGTGGACATTAAACATTTCATATGAAACACGTCCTCGCAGTGATGGCAGAAGTAAACCCTTTTATAGCAATGTGTTCCACATAGAGAACAACTTTCCAGTCCTTGGAGTTCAGAAGAAAATGATTGCTCGACAGTGTGCTGGTGCAGTTGGTTTTCACTATGGCTGGAAACCTAAGGCACTCTACATGGGCATTGAAATTACAATCAATACATCCATAGAATGACTTACCACACAGTCTTGAACAAACATTGCAGGTTCGAGCCAACTGCCAATCATCAACCCAATAGTTATAGAAAGTGTGACGGTGAGACCACCTGATACTGAGACATCCACTGCTTTGCTGCATTTAATATGAAATCTGACTTTGCAAATGAAGCAACAGAGGCCATACTTTGTAATATTTAGATTGCAGGAACTGCACTTGGATCCACTTATCAGTTTTACTTTTAGTGGGTGATCAGAATGAAGAGGATGACTGAGTCGCTCTTGTCCCCCAAGTTCGATACACCGAGAATGATAGATATCATGACATGTCATACATGACATAACTTTTCCAGACAACCTCTCAACACAAATAGTGCAACCTATCGGATATGACCTCGATACCATAACTTCAACTACGGAATGTCTGTGTTGCAAGCACTTACTTAATTCCTCAGTAGTTGCAATGAATTTCTTCCCACGATGTATTTCTCCAAGAAATTGTGTAGCCTTTACCATGCATTTGGTGCATATGATAAAATTGCATATGCGACAGAAGAGATTGAAAAAAGACACTTGGGAGAAGTGTCAAAAGATGGTCCAAATGAAATCGATACTTCGATGGTTTCCCTAGCTTTAGACATATATCATGTGCCTCGAATTCACATGCCTTGCATTCCCATGATTTACCAATTAGTATATCCTCAAAGCATATACTACACTCCACAATCAATTCCCGAGTGGGGGCCAATATCAGCACATGAGTATGGTCAGTATCAATAACCTGCACGATGTACGAAGAAAAACAATTGAAGGAAGGTGGCCCTAGCTGGCTAAACGAAGAAAAACTTTCTAATCTCTTTCAATACTACTGTGTGGAACCTTACCATAAGTTTGTTATCTAATTTGTTGGTTTCACTGTCTTCTTGATCTCCTGGCCTCGTGACGTCTTCTCCATCAGAATACAGGTCTTTGAAGTATAATGGAGAAGGCACTTCCTGTTGTTTGTGTGTAAGAAATAATAGTCTCTTAGTTTCTTAATAAATTACCATCAATCCTTAAGAAAGAAAAACAAACATAAAAATTGGATATTACCTCACGTAGAATGCATTCAATGTGACCCAGAAAATCGCATTCTTTGCAACAATAAGCAGGATGTCCCGCATGTACCATTGTCTCACATACTTCACAATACTCCATAGAGTTGTCTTCGGCTAGGAATATCTTACGGAATAGAGGATGAATGTGATAAGATTTCCTGACCACGGACTCGGGTATCCCAAGACAATCAAAATGAAACAGAAAACCACATTCCACACAGTGATAATAGTAATCGAGAGAGTTATCAGTTCCTTCCATGCATATTTGACACGGCCTTACCTCATTAAAAAAAAACATTCCTAGCACCAGTAGCAGCATAAAACAACCTGTGCTGATGAGACTTGTGCATCAGACCTCGCAACAAGGAGTCTGCACACCTCAGGTGAATAAAAAATTGCATTCTAGGCAACCAAACGGGGCATTATCGAGATCAAGTCTGCATGCATCGCAAGTTCTTACATCACCACAATTATATGTGAAATCAAGGCGTATGAGAGGGTGTGCCGGATGCATAGGATGTTGAATCTCTCTGGGAAGATCAAGACAATGCTGGTGAACAAACGAGGAACATGGAACACAACCATAACATATCGCAGAGGGAGAGAGTGGAAGCTCACAGAGTATGCAAGAGCCATTGGCGTCAGATCCTGGTTTACACCTCCTAAGCAAGTGGACATGGCTATAATGGAGCAATTCCTCGGCTTCCCAGCCAGTGATTATGTTCTGGATCCCACAATCGAGATCCAGATAGATCTCGCACTCTTTACACTTGAAGTAAAAAGAACCAGAAAACAGATTCCCACACCCAGAGCAGAGCATGCATCTAGTCTTCTCATCATTTTTCCCCATACAAAACTCTAAGGGGTGTTGTGGGTGGAAACCATGTGACACCATCTGTGGTATCATGGAGCATGGTTTACAGAGATCGAAATTACATGTGTTACAAGCGAACTCCACAGGTTCATCTTTGTAACACATGTTGCAGATGCCATCGGCAACGATCTCCGGCGAGGTCAACACACATTCATGGGCGCCGTGTTTGAGCTCTGCCATAGCTATGCGAGCAAAGGAAGTCAACGAGGAAGAACTCAAGATTAAGAAAGAGAGCAGAGGTAGTGATCGATCGCTTAGCTTGGTGGCTAGGTTAAGCTCTGTGGAACAAATAAGAGATTTACATAAAATAGATTTGTATCTTATTGAACATTGAGCTCCAATCTGAGTTATTAGTTTTTAAAGACTGGGACGTGAGACCCGCGAACCTGAAAGGCCAGTTTTTTATAAGTCAACGAATTAATATTAAATAAAGACTCAAGATTGAGATCCAATCTTCTTATTACTGTATTTTTAAAATACTAGGACGTGAGACCCGCGAGGCAGATTTTTTTATTTTCTTAAATATAGAACGACTCGTACAATAGCAATATAGTCCACAGAGATAACAAATCTTACTTTAACCTTGAGTCATTATTGGGCATCCAAATGTGGAGAACGAGTGAAAAAAGCAGCACCATTTTCTACGTCATCGGTCTTAATGGCTCCATTGTGAGACATGAGAACTCTGTATATTCGCTTTGAACAAACCTCACCTAACCTTATGTCTCCTCCTACTAAACCTTCCACCTTCAAGTCTTTCAGTAGAAACTCCTTGTCATGAATCTGTTTCCGATATTTGCCTCAGAAAAACCGTTGAAAATAAATAAACTGAGTCCGCACGTTTTACTTACCGATTTGTTAGGATCCATATAAACACTAAGAAGAGACTTCATGGATGGATATTTCTTCCACACTGCTATGGCGTATCTTGGCTGCACCTTTGGTATTGCCACTAACGCTTTTAACCTATAGACAACAAGTAAATATAGTTACTTAATTAAACAGATACAGAGAGACTAAAACACAACCTAAAGTGATATATATATAGGTTTTATTTACTTTACCATGGACTCTTTTTAATCAAATGTTTGTCAACTGCATCCTTGGAGACTAATGCACCATTAGCGTTTACTGATAACATAGTTAATTTCTTCCTGTGCACCATACAGTAGAGCCATGATTAGTCTACTTCAAAAATAATGCAGATATATACATTATTAACCACACGTTTTATATATCAACTCAAGAAGACCAAGACATGAAGATGTGTTATATAAGTTTATCTCACGACGTGCCTACAGCCCAGTTTTTCATGATAAGCTTTAGAGCTTTATTGCATTGAGTCAGTGATCAGTGATGTGATTTGGAATTTATTGGTTTCCATCAAGAGGTGATTAGTCTAAAGGGATCCTCCAAACCAACTTAGTAATTTGGGGAAAGAAATTGAAACTATTATCCATCATGATATTAGTACCTGAACTGGCAAGAGGCTAGACTGCTTGTTAAACCGACAACATGTTCAGCGACCTCAGCCTCGTCTATACAGTGTCTGGAATGTACTCTAACATAATGAGTAGTTAATTTTGCAAGTACCTGTGTAATAAACATCAAATACCACAAAAGTAAGTACGTTTAAGAAGTCAAACAAAAGAGCAACAAAGATGTTTTGTTTCAAAACACTGCTCATTAGGTACTACAGTACCTCATCGATATGAGGCCGTCTCCAATTTCCCGGGTTCTTGTACTCTTCCTTTTCCCTAAAATTGATTTTTTCAGTTTCAGGATGGAAACACTGAATCAATACAAATTCGCTTTATCAAACTTACCTTTTCTTTACGTAGGACATTAACTTATTGGTGAGGCAGCACACCGTATAAGATGGGTATTGGTCCTGAATTCTTGAGATGTTTTCTAGAAGCCTTTCATTAGCAACAAGATTACAAAACTCTTCAGCCTCATACACAAGTAAGACATAAGGAATCTTAGGCCCTTGGGGAAAAGCCTGCAGCACAGTAAAGAAGATGCAAATTAAAGTAAAAAATAAGACACTAGTGTACAGATGATTCGTATAGTTTTCGTCTAGTAATGATCTCCCCAAGGCCCTTCAACTCATAGCAAAAGGGATTCATTTCTAATATTTCATAATATGTAACTCAGTTCAATGCCAGGTGTTATAAAGTAACACTTGATCGATATCTTTCTAATAAACAATTATCTCATTCTGAAAGATGGAAGTTGAAGAAAACTTTAGAAGGAAACGTATCCTTCTAATGAAACATAAACAAAGCGACTGAGATTTTATCGTACCGGAGCAATATCCTCTGGAATTGTCATCGTCCACACGATGGATCTCTCAATAGGATTAGGGGCTACACGGAATGTAATGCCTTTCTCAGAGAACCTTGAAAGCAGAAGTCCTATGCCATCAATATACAAGAGGAACTCAGTGTCTATACATATGTCACAAACCAGCCATTCATATGAAACAAAAAAGAGAGTCAAAGAACAAACATCCTACGCATATGTTGAAGGATAATATAATACAGAGAATAGAGAAATTTTTTTACCTCCAATGGATCCTTCAACCACTTTAGTATCAATCTCAGCAACAATGGATTTAAGAGCTAACTTTCCCTTTTCCCATTTCTGCTTTTCCTTCTCTAACTTTTTACGCTCAGCTTCTTCTGCTTTCAATGCTGCTTTCTGTAACTTCTCTTGCTGGATGATGGAAGCCAATTAACTATTGATCAGGATGCAAAATAGCAAAGTCAAGTAAAGAACATTTACCTCTTTTCTTAGTTTTTTTTCCTCCATTTCATGGATTTTGTCTTCCTTCGACGGCCGCTTTTTAGGAATTCCGACACCCGAAAGAGTTGTAGTTTTAGAACTTCTGATCCGCTTTTTATTACCCATTTTCTCGATGCTTATATTTTCTTTTTCTTGGTCAGAATCTACCTGATATTTTTGAGTAAATCAAAATAATAGCAGAAGCAAGCAAATTCAATATGTATACAGCTATTACCATTTAGAAATGAAAGTAACACAAAATTACGAAACAAAATGAAAGAAACAACAGCAGCACACCCTGAACTCTGAAGACATAAACTAATGACACGTTACGGGAATCGAGAATTGCCATATCCTCAAAAAGGCAGCTTTGCAAAAAAAATACACAACAAATAGAGTCAAAGTTCCTAAATCATGTACCAATGACGAACAATATGGAAATAGTTCCTTGCAAATCAGTACCTCGATAGTATCATTGGTCGGCGAAGAGCGTAGACTGAATTCATGCATCCAATTAGTATTATCATCTGAAAGAAATCAGCAACCCCCATTTATAAGTGGACAAGAAAAACGAAGTTCATCAACCATAAGAGTTTGGTTTTAGGGTAAGCAAACCACTGTTTGGCTCACTTATTCTAGTATTAGCCTCAATAGAATCTGCATCACTTGATCTAGAATCCAATACACGATGCGGTTTCGTAAAATCAGCAAGCATAGGCTCATACTTCCTCGAAGTTTCAGGTCGAGGAATATCCTCAAACTCCGAGTCCAGAGATATTACCCTTTTGCCTAAGTGAAATTCCAAAAGAAACATAGAAAAGTAAACATATTATCGTTCACCACACATACTTTGGTATAGACATTTAAGTTTGGTTTTTGGGGTAAGTATACCAATGCTTCTCTCATGCATTCTAGCATTCTCATAGTTCATCTCAACAGAATCTGCATCACCGAATCCAGATTCCACTACTCGACGTGAGTCCCTAAAATCAATAAGCACGGGTTCATACTTCCTCAAAGTTTCAGGTCGAGGAATATCTTCAAACTCCGAATCCAAAGATATTATCCGTTTTCCTAAGTGAAATTCCAAAAGACACATAAACAAGTAAAGAAGTTATAGTTCATTATGGATACTTTTGATAGAAACATTTGACTGTAAAGCATACCTATGCTTCCCTCAGTTATTTTAGCATTCTCATAGTTCGCCTCAGTAAAATCTGCAACACTGAATCCAGATTCAAATCCTCGACTTGGCTCCCTAAAATCAGCAAGCATAGGTCCATACTTCTTCGAAGTTTCAGGTCGAGGACTATCTTCAAACTCAGAATCCAGAGATATTACTCGTTTGCCTAGTGAGAATCCAAAAGAAACATATAGTAAAACAAGCTTCCCGGAATCAATTCCATGTTAGCCAAATCATTCCATAAAACCCAAAAACCCTACCTAATGAGGATTGAAAGTTAAACTTACCGGAGAACTTGTCTTCGCGGTTCGAAGCTACAGCACCGGGACCAAAGGAACACTTGACGACAGAGAAATCATCAGAGAGAGGTGTATCAGGGACGAACAAAGGAGTAGAAGAAGATTCCGGCGGCGGCTTCTGCGGCGTCGGGTCGGAATCCGATATCAGTATCGCAGAGATGGGATCTTTCCGAGCCCGTTTCGAAAGCGATGGGAGTGGAGTAACCGGATCTTCCCCGTCGGAGATCAGAATGTGATCCTTCATGGAAGAGAGAATTTGGATTTCGCAAGGAGCACAGATTCAAATGAGCGCGGGATTATCGAGGAAGATGAGGATGGTTCGAATTCGAAATCGCCGGGTAACAAATTGGGAATGTAAACAGTGTTTGACTACACGGTCTATCAGTTACAGAGTTACTCTACTCGGGGATTTGAAGAGTGTTTGGCTGCAAGTTCATCTTCATTCTTTGCCATGTGGCCGGTGGCCCATATAAACTCACTATTGGGCTGGTGGCCCATATAAACTCATTATTGGGCTGGTGGCCCATATAAAATTACTATGGGCTCTTGTAAATATTTTTTTGCCAACTGATGTTAATAAAATGTAAATATGTAAATGGGTAAAATTCAAAGAGTGAATAAGCCTATTTGGCAGTACAACAAATAAAGGTACAGATTATCAATTTTTTAAAAAGTATAAAGATTATATTACCATTTTTTTTATAGAAATTACAAAAATTACAAACAACAAATTAACCAAAAAAAAAATATTAACAACTCCACAAAAATAGCAGAGAACAAAGTTAAAGAAACAGCGAGATAATAAATAAAAGCCAAAACAAAACTTGATGGAAAAGCAACAGTCATACATTAAAACGCGTACCACCCTATTTTGCCGTATCTCCAAAGAACTAGAGTTCTCATCATTGTTGACACAATTATCATCTTGAAGCTAGCCTTCAAACCTCAAGAATGAGATACCTACAACTTCTCCAAAAACAAATAGCATTTCCAGATCTGTAATAGACTAACTAGCAACCATCCTTTGATAAAACATCCGTCCTTTCATTTCGCTCCCTATAAACATGACCCAAAGAGCAAGAGGGTGCTTGGTCACCCAGTAACGAATATTATATAATATATTATCAATATCGAGATTTTCTTCTCTTCGATTAACCACTATAACTAACTCCTTATTGTCACTTTCAAACCATACGTGTCTGCACCCTTGAGCCCAAACAAATTTTAGTACATCAAGAAATCCACATGCTTCTGCTTGTATTGGTGAGAACTGACTTCAATTTTTCATTTTAACTAATGTTATTGTTGGGACTTTCACAAAAAGATGTTTTACTTGTCTTAAAAACTGGATTTTCTGCCATTCAAGAGTATTTTCATTTATTCTATTTTACCTTTATCATTTTAATTATTTCAAAGAGAAAATATAAGTAGAAAAATTAATAAAAATAAGGATCCGGTTGTAATTCCAATTAGAATATCATAAGGAGTAAAATTTTTTGGATCGGATAGTTTACATTACTGTCATCACACACATTCACGGTTCACAAAAACATAGAACAATTCTCCAAGAGACCCACATTCAATTATTGATTCATAGGATCTAAGATTTCATTTTCTTGTCCGTTGTGAACTTGTGATGAGTGAAGAGTAAAATGTTCAATCATGTCATGTGAAAAAATTTGGTTGAGGATGAGAAATGGTCGATGATTTTCAACCCCAAAAGAAATTCACGCCGAGACTAGGCTGCCACTTATACAATATGGATTGTTTCTTTTAGTGCCCAAATAAAGAGCGCTCCTACTTGTTATGGGCTTTTTTAATTTAATTTTAATCTTAAAAGGTTCTAAGAAACCAATAAGAAACCAGCAATAAAGATGGTCTAACATGCTCAATCATGTTATGTAGGTTACATGATGTAACTATAGTTTAATTTTTTAACTCCGTGATGTAACTATATATCATATATGTTACATGAAGTAACTATATTTATCAACTCCATGATGTATATCATGTAGTTGGAGAAGCGTATGAAGTGAACGTGGCAACTCCTGGTTCGTTGTGAATTGTGCTGAGTGAAGACTAGTAACATGCTTAATCAAATCACGTAAATATTTGTTTTTACCTCGACGCATTTCGTTCATATTCTATAAAACTAATCAGTCCAATTAAGTATATATATATATATATATATATATATGATGTCGACAAAAGTAGAATGATATAAAAGAACTGTTTTTTCTATCCTCTTTTGTTTAAAGTATATGAAACAAATGTAGTTTGGTATTGTTTTGTTTGATTCTCTTTAATCTGAAATAAAACGTGGTCTTTTCCACTGAAAATGTCACCTTTCGTTGTAGTTGTAATCTGGCCCCATTTTTTTGTTTCGTTGTAATGAGTGAAGAATATTTTCAAGGATCCAATGAGAACGTGATTAACTCGGTGGACTGATTACAAAACAAATATGGTTTGTTTCTATATATTTTATAGGCATGGGGTGTCAGTTTACGCTCCAACATATGGAATTCTTTTTCTTTTTTTTTGTTACTCACAAATTTTATTCGATCGAATCATTATTGCTATCATGTTCACTATACTAAAAAGTGAAAGAATAATTCGCTATCATGATCACTATAATTTAAAGTCGTCAAAAATAATTTTCGAAGAAAAACACAAACGCATTCATTACCTTCGCAGATGAATTTTCGTCCTCTTATAGCTGTAAGAAACCATGATTTTTACGATATAATAAAACTGAATACTAAAAAATATTGATATATAGAAAACAGAATTAATAATGACTATATCGATGATAATAATAATAATAATATTTTAAAAATAAAAATGGATAATTATTTTTTTTCTACAGCCTAAACACCTAAAACAGTTTAATAATCCAAACCAGAAATACCAAATTTACATACATGACATTAGACGCAAGCATTTCGTGAAAGGTTGTCGACTTTTATATTTTTCGTATGTGAAACAAATGAAAGAGAGAAAAAAGAAAATTTTTCCTTATTCTTCATGTATTCCTTTAAGTGCAAAGCAAAAACCTACCATCCATTTGGTTTAGATATTATTTTCACCAACTTGGAACAGTCGGTTGCAAATGTTACCATCATCTGATTGTTATCAAACATACAATGCATGGCCTAGATTAGAATCTCGAATTCTGCATTTAAGGGGGTTAGACTGCGTCGTAAATTCCTTACTCCCATTACCGTGTAGAGACGCTCGAGATCTTGTCACCCTAAGCCCGAAAATGGACTAACAGTTTGTTTAGAGACGCTCGAGATCTTGTCTCTTAATTCTTTGATTGCATTTGTTGTGTTTGATACAATCAAAATTCAGAATTTTAGAAATCCATGAGCCACACAATTATTATTATTATTTTTTGGTATGCAACATTTAACAACAAAACTAAAGAATCCAACAAAGTATTGTACTCACAGACTAAAAGTACAGAAAGAAAAAAAAAAAGAATGATGATCAAATAGAATTATGATCAAATAGATATGAGAGAATCCATAATCAAATTCCATAAATAAATAAGAAGATTCATAAATATTCTCCAAATTTGTTAAAAGTGATGAAGAGATCTTCTCCAAGAATACAATTGAAAGTTATAAAGTTATTTACACAAACTAAAATTGAAAGATTTATAGGTCTTAAATTGTTTTTGGTAGAAACAGAAAAAAAAACCTAGAAAAAATTATGGAACATCTATATATATTTCAAACCGGTCTAAAGAATGTGTTTTAGACCTGGCTCCTTGTGTGTGAATGGCAGCTAGGGCACATGTAAGTGATCTAGACCCAACTTCATGACCGATCCAGTGTTCTTCAAAGTTCATGCTAAATTCTTCATCTGTTTATGCTCTAGTTTCTATATATTATTATTGATTTTTTTTTATAATAAGAGATAATCTGAACTTTATTATCCGATTAATGTTTTAAGATGAGTGATATCTTCGACTAATTCATTTTTCAGATTTTCAAACAGGCCTAAAATGTGGTACCATCTTCGACTGATCAAATGGAAGTGGTACTATTTATTTGTTTATGCTCTAGCTAAGTGTCTATCATTTTTCTCCTATTTTACAAAAAAAAATGGAAGAGACTCTCAAAAATTTAAAAGAGTCAAAACGAAATGAGAACACTTAAAACCAACTTATGCAATAGTTAAAATAAGTATAGACACAATCTACGTCGGCGCCGTGCATCGATCATGTCTGGATGAAGAATATGTAGACGCAATTTATTTCACGATCCTGCGAAATCAAGAAGTTTATAGCCTAATCGCTTAAACGAACCACTAGTTTTTTTTTTTTTGTAACAAGCATAAACTAGTGTCGCTGTGCAAAAGAATCATAACCTAGGGATGAGGGACTAGTATTTTTTTTTTCTTTACTAACTAGCATAAACTAGTATCGCTGAGCAAAAGAATCATAACCAAGGGATAATGATAATATTTGGGGAACTTACAGCGAAAGCAACGACAGAGACGGTGGCGATGAGGAGGAGAGAGAGGAGGAGAGCATCACAGCGAGCACCATAGTTGGTGATATGAATGTGTAAGACATGGAGATTTGATCTGTCCTGTTGGGAATCAATCCAAAGTCTCACATCGGAAGTTTGAACCAATATGGTCTAATATATAAGTAATGTCTAACTCTAATTAGTATAAGGCCTTTTGGAAAGGAGCCCAAAACCAAATCCGTGCGGGCTTTATCAGTTGGGCCCAAAGCAGACAATATCATACTAATTAGGGAGTTGGACATGGGCTTAGAAAAAACCCAATAAATAATATCAGAGCCTAGGTCAAAGAAAAGTGGACTTGGAGAAATTGGATTGGACTGAATGTTTGGTGTGGGAGAGAAACCCTCAAGATGACCTTGCGATTAAGATGTACAAGATGGGTAGTAGATATTGCTGGAGGTTGGAGACCAAGAGTTAATGTGGACTTTGGCTTGAGGGGGAGATTGTTGAGAATCAATCCAAAGTCCCACATCAGAAGTTTGGACCAATATGATCTAATATATAAATAATGTCCAACTCTAATTAATATGAGACATTTTGGGAAGGAACCCAAAACCAAATTAAATCCGTGCAGGTTTTATCAGTTAAGTCTAAAGTAGACAATATATATTAATTGGGGAATTGGATATGGGTTTAGAAAAAGCCTAATATGTCCATGGATCATGGTAACTATTAATAGCGTTCATACGCTACCACTACTCTATAAGTTGACGTGGAATTTTATGGTCCGTTATGAACTTATTATGAGTGAAGAGTAACATATAATCATGTTATGTAGGTTACATGATGTAACTATAGTTTAAATTTTTAACTCCATCATGTAACTATATCATTTATGTTACATGATGTAACTATATTTTTCAACTCCATGATGAAACTATATCATGTACGCAGTACGTACTACGTAGTATCCTGTCAAAAAAAAGAAAAAAAAAGAAACTATATCATGTAGCTGGAGAAGCGTATGAAGTTAACGTGGCAATTTTGGAGCCGTTGTGAATTGTGCTGAGTGAAAAGTAACATGCTCAATCAAATCACGTAATTTTTTTTCTTTTAACTTCTACGCATTTCATACATATTATGATACTAGTGCAATAATGGAAAACTAAGAGTCCAATTAAGTAAATGATGTTAACAAAAATAGAATAATAAAAGAACTGTTTTTCTATTTTCTTTTGTTTTAAGTACTATGAAACAAATGTAGTTTGGTATTGTTTTGTTTGATTCTCTATAATATTAAAAGAAAACGTGGTGTTTTTCGACTGAAAATGTCACCTTTCGTTGTAGTTGTAACCTGGCCCCATTTTTTGGTTCGTTGTGATGAGTACCGACTACCGAAGATATTTTTTTGAGGATCCTATAAGCATGTGATGATTAACTCGGCGGATTGATTACAAAACAAATATGGTTTGTTTGTACTTTGTGGGCATGAGGCGTCAGATTACGAAACTACTCCTCCAACACACATAGAATTCTTTTTTTTTTTTCTTTTTTTTTTTACTCACAAATTTTATTCGATGGAATCATTTTTTTCTATTGCCATCTCATGTTCAAAATACTACAAAGAACAAGTCTCCAAGACCAGACAAAACAAAATTCCCTTAGCAATGAATTTTCGAAGGTTCAAAAATCTAGTCCAAATTTATTTAAAATGGTGAAGAGATCTTCTCCCCAAGTATACAATTGAAGGTGATCAAGTTATCTACAAAAAAACTAAAGCATACTCTAAAACATAACTAAACTTAAGTATTTATATTTCTTTATTATTTTTCGTCAAAACAAGGTAAAACTCTGGCGAAAAAAAAAAACCTGGATCATATGTGTTTTAGACCGGCCAAAAAGTGTTCTGGATGGAGATCCCTTGTGTGCGAATGGAAGCCTGAGTGCAGTAAAGTCTAGACCCGACTTCATGACCGATCCAATGTCCTTCAAACTCCAAGCTTGATTTATCATCTGTTTTAGCCCTAGCTAGTTTCTATCATTTTTGCCTATTTTGCTAAAAAAAGACTTGAGAGACTCTCAAGACATTAAAAATACCAAAAAGATTAAAAAAAAATTAAGAATAAGATTTGAAACAATTTTTTTCAACAATTTTTACAAAAAAAAAAAGATTTGAAACAATAGTTAAAATCCTTGAAAATACTATTCATCAGTAGAATGTGTAGACACAATCTAATTCATCGTCTTGCAACAAGAAAATAAATTATTTGTTTCAACGGGAGAGAAGTGGACTTTGTACCCTAATGATTTGAATTAGTGGCCTATCGTATCATGATCTAGAATTAAACTAGTAATATGTGTGTCTGAGTTGTAGACCATAAAAAATAGGAGGAAAAAAGAATCATAATCTAAGGATGATGATGTGATTTGGGGACAAATGTGACGATGGTAATAGAGAGAGGAGAAAGAGAGGACGAAAACGTCACGACAAACCATCATTGGTGATATGAATGCCAGAATTGGAGAAATGATCTATCCAAATTCCAAACTATCGATACATTACAATGATTTAATAAACACTCATTGGAATAATCGAAACAGAGTAACCGTATCTATTTTTATTTTTATGATATCCGACATATAGCAATGTGAATATATGATCATGCAGAACAAACTTAAGCATTCATCACACTAATTAATATTAAAATAGGATTGAACCCGCGCTAGCTATAGCACGGAATAATTTTTTTAATTAAAATATTTTAAATCTAAAAGAGAAATTGTTTTTACTTTAATTTTATTATATGTTTAACTATTCAATCTGTTTACTTAATCCACTTTGAATTGTATTAAATTTTTGTTCTGACTAACCCAGAAAAATATCTTGAATACATAAATTTAATATGCACCCTTCAATGATTCTAGTTTTTGTGGTTAGTCAACAAACTCTTACAAAATTTAATTTTCTTCTGTTTAATTATTTTATAAATTATAAAAATATTTTTCAACTTTTGTTTTATATATATTCAAATGAAATATAATAAATTATTATGAAAATATGATAAATCTTGAATATATATATATATATTTTAATATGTATATAGATTACTATTATTTATATATATATATATACATAATAATTAAGAAACTAAATAAGAAATAACCTCTTTAATGAAAAATATATACTTTTCAAATTTTCTTACATAATCTCAAAAAACAGTTATATCATTTCCTTTTTAATTATATTTTGTTATCTGTAATGGCATTTCATGTAATAACTTATATATTTAACTATTTAAGTTTCTTTTTAAAAATATATACTTTAATAATAATATAGAGATGTTAATGACTAATATGTGGGAAAAATAACATTTTAAAATATGGGAGAGTTTCAGATTTAACCCATATTTCAAAGTCAAACACCAAACTAACCTCTTTTTTTTCTCTCTCCAACTTTTGCCATTTTCTCACAATTTTATCCTTCTCATTTAAACTATTAACGAAAATGTCATTATACATCTATTATTTCGATTTTTCTTTAATTTGGCTAAAGTCTCCTTGGACCATCTAAAGACCTTTTCATTACGAGAATGCTATCTTCTTCAATTTCTTCAACCACCATGAACAACCATGAAAATGGAATAAATGATTCTCAACCAATTTTAAAGCTGTAATAAGTAAATATTTGAGCTCATTCACTCATAACATTCCTCATTCTTTCATAATTTCTTCTCCAAAACATCTGGGCTAAGTTACATTGCCAAAAGTCATGCATTTTTGGTGATTTCTGGTTACTTAACATCTGGGTTGCTTATTTTTGGTGAAATCATGAGTTCTGGGTGCTTAAAAGAACTGTAGCCGAGCTCAATTTTGTTAAAGGTAATCGTCGCACTTCAATTTCTCCATATTTCAGTTTTCATATCGCGAAAGTAGACTTCTCGTGAAGTATACTGAAGTCTACTAGTCAACATAAGGTTATTTTTGCAATTGACTTTTTAAAAGTAGACTTCATTAAACCTCACGAGAAGTCTACTCAATATCCTTTGAAAACAAAAAAAAAGCATTGTAGACTTCATTTGAAGGCTTAAGAAGTCTACGAAAGAAAAGAGGTTATTTTTGTAGTTGACCGTATTTTGACTTTTTAATGTAGACTTCTTTCGAAAGTCTACTGTTTACGTCTGCACAAGAAGTCTACTTTTAAGTTACTTTTGTAGTTTGACCAAAAACGTATAGGTCATTTTAGTGTTTGACTAAAGTTTTTTAAAAAATAAAAAATTCAGAAAACTCTGGAAAGCTGCAGTAGACTTCAGAAAGAAGTCTACTTATATTTTTCGGTCAAACTTAGAAGGAATCTTTTTTTGAGTAGACTTCACAGTGAAGTCTACTCAAAAAATTCAATTGCAAAAATAACCTTTTTTTTTCCGTAGACTTCTATTGAAAAAGTAGACTTCAAAAGTAGACTGTCAGAGAAGTCTACTCGTACATGAAGTCTACAATAGAAGTCTACTTTGTTAGTCAATGCATCAGTCAAATGCTAAAGTAACATTTTTGGCCGGAAGTCTACTTCTGAAGTCTACTGAAGGAAAAGTCAACGGATGGTAAATTGCAAAAATAACCTGTTTTTTAGTAGACTTCTTTAGTAGACTTCACTATGAAAAAGTAGACTTCTCCTCCAGTCTACGTTTGAAGTCTGCTGTAGAAGTCTACTTATTGCAGTTTTTTTTAAAAACGCGTTTTAGGCAAATTTTTATAAAGTATTTTTTTATTTTTTGGATTAGAAATGCTTTTTAGTAAGTGATTGAACTACCTAGTGAATTTTATTTCATTTCATTCGATATTTATTGTTGAATCAGAAGTTTTGATTTTTAAGCTACTTAGCTTATCAAAGTAGACTTCAGTAGACTTCTCCTGAAGTCTACTAAGGAAGTCTAATTAGGAAGTCTACTTTTTGTATTTATTTTAAAAACGCATATCTTAAATATTTATAACGTTTTTTCTAATTTTTAGGTTTTGACATGCGTGTTAGCAATTGATTGAATTACTCAATGGCTTTCATTTGATTTAAATCGATATTTATTGTGGAAGTAGACTTCATTTGTAATCTACGAAGTCTTCGAATGAAGTCTTCTATGTAAAAAAAATGATACTTATGTATTTGCTATAATGTTATTTGTAATTATGTTTGCTAATGTCATTTTTTATGTTTTCTTACAAAACTACCAACTTATGCTTCAATTTTTCTTGTGTTATTAGACTTACAAAAATAGTTTTCTTTGCATTATAAAGATTTCTGCTTAATGATTTAGATTGTGGAACTTTTCTTTGCATTATCACTCTTAACTATATGACGTTTGTGTCTATATAGAATAACTTGATTATATTAACAAGGCATTCTGCATAAAATAGCATCACATTTAATAAATACACATACAAAATTACAATTAACAATCCAGCAGAAGCTGTGGCGTAGGCATCAGCACTAAATCCAAAAAACTAAGGGAGAAAGGGAATACGAGGGAGAAAGGGAATAAGGGAGGTTGTTCTCGTTGTTGTAAGTGACGTGGAACCATGTGCAAGGATTCACAAGCGTAGGATCCCAGCTCGAACCTGTTCTTCCAAAGGGAATAAGGGAGGCCACTTCCGGCAATGTCAAATTCCAAATGGGTGCACGAACAGTCCGACTCTGGCGTGTGAAGCTCCCTTCTCACAGCAACATTTCCCCTTTAAAGTACCAAAACAAAGGACGGATGAGATCAGCTGATAAGACAAAGTAATAACACAATCCAAACATTCAATTATGATCAAACGATCAAACAACATTTTAATCACAGATTTTGACTATGCACTTCTCGATAATTAAAAGAGAAAGTGCTCAAACCATTTTAAACCAAGCTAAACCAAGCCTTGGTATGAAAAATCCAAATCGATTAAATAATATTTTAATCAGATAATGCACTTCTCGATAATTAAGATGAGAACGTGCCCAAGCCAATCAAAACCAAGCTAAACCAAGCTAAACCAAGCCTTGGTCTGCGAAATCCAAACCAAAATATTGCAGGTTTCGGATGGAAGAAAAGGAATTGCAGGTTTTGTTGCAGCATTTAAAATCAATAGCGAGTAAATCAAAATGAAATCTGCAAGTCATGATAAAATAGAATCTCAATTCAAGTCTGTATCGAATTCAAGTTTCGCAAAATCAAAAATCAAAACCTTTTAACAAGTTTATTTTATAATCGATCACTCTTTCTTATTAGAATAGAAAATAACCATTGCATATAAAATGCAGCTCTTGTTCACGGTTTCAAGTCTGTGAGAACGAACCACAAAGCGCCGATTATAATGAGTTCAACTAACAACATTCCAAGACATAAAACATAGATCCAGCGTAAAACAAGCTCAAACCAACAAAATAGAAAAAAAAATCAACAATGGATTTTACAAAGATGCTACAAAGAATCAAGAACAACAAATTATGTGGATGTAATCAGGAAGCACTTATCTCCTCACTAGAAACCAGAATCGGTGCGTAGATCCGCCGTCGAAGTGTGTGGTTTCCTCACCGGCGAGCTTTTCTCCATCGCAATTTCACGATTCCACACTAAAAATCAACAAAAAATCAGTAAAATCCAAAGAAATTGTGATAAAAGAGAGAGAGACAGAGAGAGTACGTTATTGTAGGGTAATAGCTTCGAAGCAACAACAATGGCGGATTTGGTATAAACGAATTCAAGAGACAAAGGAAGAGTAGAAGCTAAAGGTTGCGAGGGAGGACACCAGATCTATGAGCTTCTTAAAAGAAAAGACTCTTGGAAAGGGCTTGGCCGTAATCATGGCCGGAGAAAGCTACCGAAAACAGATAAACAGTATAAGAGCAGCCACAGGAGCAAATTTTCTACACAGCTTCACAAAGAGAATGACACACAACAAAAAAATGGTGAGAGAGACGAAGGAAGCTGGAGAAAGCGCCGTTTTATAGAATGTCTCTTTTAGATAAAATTAGGGTTTTGTTATGGTTCATTTGTTTATATAATAGGATAAAAATTTTGGTTAAAATAAAGATTTTTTGGTTCAATTTCGGTTTAAATTTTAATTAAGATAATTTATTCGGTTTAGCAGACTTCAATATAGAAGTCTACAACTTTTAAAACTTAAATAATAGATTTTCTTCTACTTAATTTAAAAACATAAATTTCCATTTATCAATATGAAAAAATAATTTATGTACATTTGGGTTACAATTACGGAATTTATGAATGTAATTTTGATACCAAAATAAATTTTTTTCTAAATTTTAAAATTAAATTTCCAGATTTAATTACTTAGTAAACTTCATTTCGATAAACGAAGTCTACTATTAGACTTCTTTTGCTCTTTAGTAGACTTCATCAGGGTGTAAAAGGTAATTAGGACATCCGTTTTTTATTTACGCATACAAGATTCAATGGTCTTTTCACTACCCTTTTAAGTTATTTCTGCCAAATGTTTTTTCAGGGGTCTATTTTTGTATTTAAAGTCAAGTTTTAGGTTATTTTTAGCAAAAACCCCTTAAAATATTAATGATTCAGTTGACAAGCACATTAGTAAATTGAAAGAATAACTCATCAATATAATCTTATTATTTTGAATCAAATTTAGTTATATATATAAAAAAGAGTCGTTCAAGTGAAGACAAACAATGTTAATGATGCTGCGCATGTTCACATCAATCACGACTTAAAGACTTTCATCGTATTAGTTTATATCTTGCTTGGGTTTTATGTCTGTTGTGTTTTTTAGGTGTTTTTACGTTAGCTTAATATGTTTAGTTTAGGGTTATTGTGATTGCTTTACTTATTTAAGAGCTGTGAGATTTATTTGTAAAGTAGCTTTTGATTAATTGAATAAATCTGGAACTTTTCAATTTATCTCTTTATTGTTATCGTATATCAAAAACCCTCGTTTGAATTTAGGTTCATTAAGTCCTTGTCGAATGGCCATTTCTAATGAATCAATGATTTTCAAGTTTATCCAGCTTAACGCTGTACTAACTGATATAGCGAAAGCTTTATCCAAGTTTAATCTAGAGATTCGATAGAATTTCTAGAGACCTGTCAACTCAATCAAGAGATTCGATAAATGATCTATTTCTCAATCAAAGAATTCGAAGAATCGCTTGAGACCGGCTTTTTGTTCTGATGAATTTAATCAAATCAAATACAAGAAATAAAAGAATCTTTCTATTTTATTTATCAATCTAAAACTGAATACAATAAGATGTTTAAACGACTTATTTATAATAAATTTTAAAACATTCAAAAAAATTAAAACAACAAAACAAAATTATCTAAATAAAATAAATAATAAAGATATTTAGAATACTTCTAAGGCCATGATGTTAATCAGTTAATCTCTGCATCAGTTAATCAGTGACATTATTATTATTTTTTATTTTTTTTTAACTGAGAGCTTACATTATTGCCGACATAAGTTCACAGTAGGAGTAATAACAAGTCTCCAAAACACACATTCATTTTTTTTCATTCATTAAGAGAGAGTTTTCTGGACCTCAGGCACGACCCGACCAACACTCTCCCTCAGCGAAACGGGACAGTTATTGCGTACGGCAGTTAGCGACGTATCGGACTCAAGCCATTGCTCAAAATCAAAGTATTGACGCTTGCTGTCAGTGTGAAGTCCGACCGTCGTGAGCTCCACGTAGTTTACAAACCAGGCTGGGTATTGTCCGGTGCCGTCAGAGGTCAGATTCAATGAACATATTGGGCTCGGAAGACACTTCTCCTTCGCACTGAAAATGTCCACATTGCTGTTCTCGAAGTAGTCGTAACCTGGTCCCATTAACCCACCCCATGTCACTAGGTTTTTTATCACGATCTCTTGTTCGGATTTGTCGGTGAGTATAGCGCTTATGATCGAATCTGTGCCAGCGCTTTTCACCGATCCTGTTTGGATGTAGAATGTGTAGACGCATTGTGGTTCACGATCCTGCGAAATTGAGAAAACAAATAATTAATAGAAGTTTACAGCCTAATTTATAACGTAAATTATTGTCGCTGGCCAAAAGAATTAATCGTAATCGAGGAATGATGATGAAAATGGGGAAAACTTACGGCGAATGCAACGACAGAGACGGTGGCGATAAGGAGGATACAGAGGAGGAGAACGTCACAGCGAGCCATAGTTGGTGATATGAATGTAAGAAATTTAGATTTGATCTTTTAGTATAAACTGCATCTACTTCAACATTTTAGGAGCTAAAGGCTACTATTTATAGAGTTCGAGACTTTTAGATTTCAATTATGACAGTAGTACAATTAAAGAAAACTAATGAATCCAATATAAATAATTTTTATAGTAGTATTTTTACGAAATGAAGAAAATATTATATAATGCATGAAACCGCATAATAATTAATAGGAAATTTAAGAAAATTATATATGTTATGACAAACATATAATGATGTGATTATTATATAAGTTTGCTATATTTTTTTATTGAATAGAAAGTTGCTATGTAAATTAAGTAGATGTTTAGCAAAATATAATGATAAAAGAACTGTCTTTTCACTCTCTTTTTTATAAATAATATGAAACAAGTATAGTATGGTATTGTTTGTTTTATTCTACATGATATAAAAACGTGCAAAATGCTACCTTTCGTAGTAGTTAACTAGTTATAACCTGGCCCAATTTTTGGTTCGTTGTGATGATTGAAGGGTATGTTAAAGGATCCTACAACAAGTACGTGATTAACTTGGCGGACTGATTACGAAACAAATCCAAATTTATCCGTTTAAATAATTTGCTATCACACGTTCACAATACGACAAAGAACACGTTCAATGATTCAATTTCAATCCCAATTCCCCATCGCATATATATAAGAATCAACATCACATGCCACACACGTAAATTAATATCTAGCTAATATGAGCCTTAAAAATATTGCTTTATTAAACTATTGCTTTACTAGATTTAGCCAAAGATCGGATCTGATAGCAATATTAAACTGGAAAAATCTTTTAGTGCGTTGATCTTCTTTTTTGTTCGTAATCAATGGACCGAATTGATCACGTGGTAGTAGGATCCTTTAACATACTACTCATCACAACGAACCAAAAAATGGGGTCAGGTTAAAACTACAACGAAAGGTAGCATTTTCCACGTTTTTATATGATAGAGAATAAAACAAAAGAATACCAAACTATATTTGTTTCGTAGTATGGAAAAACAGTTCTTTTATCTTTCTATTTTTTTAAGATAATTAACTTAATTATATAGTAAATTTATATATTTACATAAACAAAACAAAACATATATATTTCCTATTATTTTCCCATTAATTATTATGTGATCTAAAAAATTAATTAATGCATTATTCATTGTAAAAATAGTAATATATCAAAATTTATTTTTTTCGGCTATTCATCTGATTAAGTTATGTTTTATTTGGTGAAAAGATGATTTTGAGGAACCACTCTTACCGATACTGTCTGACTTATATGAGAGAATAAGATTTATTGCATTTTGAACCTTTTTTCTAAGATAATCGGCTCAGATATTTAACACCCGAAATATATGAACAATGCTGAAAAACTCAAAAGTTTTTTTTAAATCTGGCAAATGTCTAAATCCAAAACGAAAGCAAGCCAATCCATCGGATTCTCGATCATTTCGATTAAGTTATATCAAAATTTATCTATATTGGACTGGATAGTATTTTTTTTTTTAACTGCACTAGCATCATAACATGTTGAGATACATGGAGGAAAAAAATATAGTTACATCATGTAGCATACATGATATAATCCACAACGGACCAGAAAATGCCATCACACATTACAATTGAAATCTCAAGTCTCAACTCTGTTACTAGTGTCGCTGGGCAAAAGAATCAGAATCCAAGGATAATGATGACATTTAGGGAACCTACAAGGCGAATGCAACGACAGAGACGGTGGCAATCAGGAGGAGAGAGTGGAGGAGAACGTCACAACGAGCAATATATAGTTTGGTGATATGAGTGTAAGAAATGAGATTTGATCTGTCCAACTATATATAAAGTTTGAGACTTGGGATTAACATGCTCAATCATATCATTTCCTTCGCATATATTTTCGTCCTCTTATCTTACAGCTACACCTATGTTTTTAAATAAAGACAAGTACATTAAAATACATTTTTTTTCAAACTCATATAACACTATGAGGCATTTTTAGCTATTAGATAACTTTTTTACTATTTATTCCGAAATTGTCTCTAGTGATCACGATAAGATAAAAGTGGATGCAAACTCGTGGATACTGGATTAAACCCATATTTTAAAAACAATAATTATTTTTCCCTTTCTGTCTTATTTTGTATTTTTCTGTATTATGCAAGATATAAGACAATTTTTTTTGTTAGAATGAATTCTAATTTTATTTTGTCATTATTTTAAAATCCATTATGCTATATTTTATTTATCAAACAAAAAACTTTTCAAATAACATTTATAAAAAATTCAAAAAATCAGAAATTTCTTTAGATATTCATTCACAAAACAAGATGTAGATGATGCATGATGGACATATAACATGGACACGATTGCGTGGATATGTCTTCATTTATATATTCGATGTGGATATACATTTTACATTGTCCATAACATGGACATGATCATGTGGATATGTTATAGACAATGTAAAATGTATATTTATATCGAATATATCAATAAAAACATATCCACACAATCATGCTCATGTTGTGGACAATGTAAAATGTATATCCACATCGAATATATCAATTAAAACTAATTCATGTAATCGTGTCAATGTTATATGTCCTTCATACATCATCCACATCTTATTTTGTGAATGAATATCTAAAGAGACTTCTGATTTTTTTTTAAAAAAATTTATAAAGATTATTTGAAAAGTTTTTTGTTTGATAAATAAACTATAGCATAAAGGATCTTAAAACAATGACAAAATTAAATTATAATTCATTCTAATCAAAAATATAGTTTTATATCTTCTATAATATAAAAAATACAAAAAAAGAGATGGGGAAAATAATTAATGCTTTTAAATTTGGGTTTAATCCGTTATCCACTAGTTCACATCCACTTTTATTGTGAACATCAGGGATAATTTCGGATTAAAATGGTGTGAACAGTAAAAAAAATAAAAAAATCACCTAAAAGCTTAAAGTGCCTATCTTGTAAGAAAAAGTCAAGAAAATGCCTTTCAGTGTAATAAACTCTTTTAAATATTTCTAAAATTTATCGTATATATTGTGTAATTTTTTGTACACTTTATAAAAAGTATTGTTTCTGATTTTTTTAAAAAAAAAAGAAAAACAAGTTTATTGTTGCTGTAAGTTTATTCTTAGCAAACAAGTATTGTTTCTTTTTACAAGTTTGTTCTCGGCAAAAAAGGTTTTTTGTTGATGAGTTAATAACAGTCAACCATGATTTTTAGGAAATAATAAAACTGAATAATTAATAAATGTATTGATGTTTAACAATATATATATATATATATTTTATTTTATATATAAAACTTGGCCAACTTTCTCCAGCTGCTTACCACATCAGCATTGGAGAAAGCGCCACCTGTCCATCTAAAATCTTAATAAAATAAATAATTAATTACATTTAAAGAAAAACATTTAATTAATCACATTTAAAGAAAAACATTAAAGCACATTAATAAATATTAATATGTATATGAACAAAAATATTTAAATAAATAAAATTTAAATTTATTTTAAATATATCAATAAAATATATATAACAAAAAAAACTCAAAATGGTAAATTTTTCTATGAAATATTACGTTTTTATACTTAAATTAAAATAGTAGATCTTTAGTCTCTCATTACCGTAGGAGAAAAATCGGATTATTTGGCATAACTTATGTCGAAGAGATTACAAATAGGGTATCATCTAGAAGAAATCGAAGAAAATATAAATATTTTAAACGAAAAAATGATGGTAAAAATGTAATTCAAAAAAAATTCTAAAAATGTATAATTTAAAATATAAATTAAAACAATATCCGCGCATATGTGCGGGTTCTCTCCTAGTATTAATAAAAATTGAAGCTAGATGCTTCTAAAGGTGTCCATATAAGATTTAAGAAATCAATTTAATGGTCTACAACAACATTCAAAAATAAAGAAATTTTACAAATTGTAATATTATTGCTGAAAAAAAAATTATGAAGATATCCACATAGGATTTAAAAAAATCAATTTTATTGGTCATCATCAATATTCAAAATTAAAAAAAAATTACAAATTGTAATATTATTGCTGAAAAAAGAAATTAAGAAAGTTTATTGGTCCAATAATTTTTTTTTATTGTTCTACCTCAACATTGAAAATTGAAAAATATTTGTATACATTTTTTATTAGTCCACCTCAACATTGTAAATTGAAAAATTTCCAAATTCTATTATTGTTTTTAAAATTATTAAAAGTAAAGAAATTATATATAAAATTGATATTAATAATAAATTAAAATAAATAATATTAAAATAGAAATTTTTAATTTAAATTAGTTATATACACACATATTTAGAGACTCTTACATTAGCATCCAATTTTTTTGTCACATAATTATAATAATTTTTAAGTTTTTTTTTTTATCTGTGTGTGCAACCATGTAAAATAAACAAAAACAAAATATAGAGTAAGGTTTCACTAAAATATGAGTCATTACAACGTAAAAGAACTAACTTGACTAAACTATATGTTTAACTATTAACTAAATTAAAAAGAATACAATGAAAGTAGATATAAACGAAACCACTACTAGAAAAAACTTGACTAAACTATATGTTTAGTTATTAGCTAAATTATAAAAAATATAATGAAAGGAGATATAAACAAAAGCACTACAAACCACTTTAATATTGAAAAAGAAACCGTAAAATCTCCAAAGCTTGGCCACTAAATTTGAAAAGAATAATAAATTTCAAGCAATCCGAGAAACATGTTAAATGATTGATACTCGACACTTTTGAAAAACCAAGCACTGAAAATAGAGAAAAGAACATAGCAGAGAAGACTAAGGTATCTGAGGAAATTTTTTGAAATAACATAGCATCTGAATGGGTTTTAACAACCCAACCTGCACCACAAAAGTAACAATTAGCTGATCAAGCGGCATCTGAAAACATTCGATAAGCCTTAAAACAAAGAGGAGAGGCTAAAATCACTTGCCGCAATGGGTCTCGTGTGAGATTTTCCAGTTTTAATTTCTAAATCTATTACTAATAATAGTTAAAGCTATATGCCTCTAAAAATATCCATATATAATTTAAAAGTTCAATTCTATTGGTCCACATCAATATTTAAAATTAAGAAAATTTGTAAATTTTTAAATTATATTGTTAACAAACAAATATATTTAAAGAAAAATAAAAGTTGAAGCTATATGCCTCTAACAATTAGCTGACCAAGCAGCATCTGAAAAC